TTGTGTAATTCTGTAATTTTAATGTTCATCTTCTGAATTTCTAACTGCCGTTTTTGTATGAGTTTTGATTGTGTATTAATCTTGTTATTTTGTTACTGAATGGTTTTCCTGAGTTTTTCCAGGATACCGTCTGTGTTCTCCTTGGTTTTGTTTGAGGTTTCTTTCCTTAGGCTCTTGTAGAGTTCTATAAACATATCTTCTAAATTTCTTCTTGAATAATTCTCTTGCCTCCTCTTCCTCCATGTTTAATGAGATTTTTGTCTGGGATTTTATTTCTATTGTTTTATCTTTGTTGTTGTTGTTGTTGTTGTTTTATTTGAGGTTGCCTGTTGTTTACTAGACATTTTAAAGTTGTTTTTAACTGTTAGTTATATATTGAGTTGTTTCACCTTGATTTTATGTTTAAATATTTTTGAAAGGGTGGAGCTGGTGTATTTTATTTTATTTTTTGGTTATTAATTCAGATGTGCTGGATTGCTCTTCAGTTGTCTTTGTGTTGATGGAATCACTGTGGGGAATGTGGATGCAGGTCTCTTTTTGCTGTGAAGGGGATTTAGAGTTGAGATGAGCAGGTGTTATTGTGCCTTAATGTGGTTCTTCTATTGGGTGAGGCAGGGGAGAAAGCGAAAACTGAGGAAAAAAAGAAAAAGAAAGAAAGAAAGAAAGAAAAAGGCACGAGTAGCAAGTCCCTGCTTTCCGCATTTCTGTGGTTATTTCTGGTTCTGGGATTTTTGTTTTAAGTCTGCTTGGTATGGCTACTAATGATGTTTTATTGTTAATCACAGACCTGTGGTTCAAAATTGGCAAAGACCTCAGTGGTTAGGGGGCCGCTACTTTCCACTTAGGTTGGATAGCTGCAAAAACCCTGTACTCTGGTCCCCTCTGTGCTAAAAAGCTGTCCTGGAAGAGATGAACCCAACCCTTGCACTGTGAGCTCGTCCCAGGGCCTGCCTACCTGTGGCACATTTCTTCCCTTCCCCCTTTCTGCTCCCAAATCAGTGGTGACCTGAGCCAGAGGGGTTTCTGCTCTATTTCTTGGAAATGTTGTCCCCTTACTCGGCTTACTTGCCAAGGTTACCGTCAAAAGTTGCTGTTGTGAGTAGTTCAAGTCCCCAAAGTCACCACTGGCTCACTGGTGTCCCTCCTTTTTTATTTCCTCTGCAGTTTTCTCCAGTATTGTTAAAAGAGTTTTCCACTTCTCTGTTTCGCCATCTCACCTGCCACCGGGAAGTTTCATTTATTTTTATTTTTCCAAGGTGTTTACCCTGTTTTTTCTTTTTTCTCCTTCTCCATTAAATCTGGCCTTCTCTAACTCAGTGAACTGTTGACAGTCCCAGAATCCCTGCTTCAAACTGTGGCACTTAGTTTTTCAGGCATTAAGATACTAGAGGGAACAAACATGTGGGCTACAGGTACAATGCCATCTTCCAAACCAAGTCTTATCTTTTAATAGGAGAAGGTTTTATTATCTTTAACATGAGAAGGACCACATGATTCTTAAGAGTGCTTCTAGTTCTAATATTTGATATTTTTGTCCTGTTCACATATGTGAAGCCCCCTTCCATACACAAGATTTCTATAAAACAAGGGATGTCCTTATAAAGCATCTGACTTTTTGTTAAGACAAAAACTGGTGTTCTTATTTTTTTTTTTTCTTCCATATTCTAAGCTTCAAGTTGTTGTCTTTTCATTTATCTGAACTTGAGCTTCTACTCTCTCCAACTGAATCATGGCTTCTAAGGAACCAGAATAAATCAGATCCTTTTGGCAGAAATATGAAGCAACTTAGTGTGTCTATTTGGTGCTAAGCTATGTAGGAGCACCCTGCACACAGGTCAGTGATCACAAGCCACTTCTACCTCATAGAAGTATATAAGATTAACTCTGCCCCTAGTGATTACATACTTTCAAGATACTCGAATTTACTCGAAATGTTTCGGAAATTTCTGATTAGATCATCATTTTAGCTTTATGCATAAACCAAGTCTTACTATCCTTATTTACTTTTGACCATGGACATTCCCACAAGAGGTCTTTCTTATCCAGAAATATTTCTCTATAGCTCATTTGCAATTGCATCTAGTCAGTTGAGGATGGCTGACTATTCGTTTCCACTTTCTTTTATACACATCTTACTTTTCTCTCATACATTTCACTTTAACAGACCCAGGCTAGGACGTGTCTTGTTTCTATTTCTTTTCTTTCTTTCTCTCTCTTCTTTCATTTCTTTTTTTTCCTCAAACAAAGTTATGTTGCCCCCCAAATTTACTACCATTACACCATCCACTTTTCATCATCTTCCTCTTTCCTTTCCAAAAAAAAAAAAAAAGCCAACACCAAACTCACTGCTGTCGAGTTGATTCAACTCATAGTGATCCCTTCTTAGGTTTTCAAGGCAGTATCTGTATGGAAGTAGATTGCCTAATCTTCCTTCTAAGGAGTGGCTGGTGGGTTTGAACTGCCAACTTTCTAGTTAGTAGTCAAATGCCTTAGGAACTACACCATTAGTGCTTTCCTTTCCAGATTCCTTATTTCTAATTCCATTTTTGGGCAGTCAGCCCCAGGGTTACAGGTGAGGAGAAACAACTCAGGGACACCCAAAGTAGCAAGTGGGAAGAGCAGGAGAAAGGGGATTAAAAGCCAGGAAGCCAGAGAGAAGAGCAGTCAGCCGAAGGGATTAATTCCATTTTAAAATTTTATTTCTGATTACTTCTTTGAGATCCATTTGTATTTCATTACAAATTATCTAATCACCTTTTGATTAGATTAGAGGTAAACTTTTATGTATTTGTAAATGCATTGCATTACCAAGTTATGGCACATTTGTATCAAAGCTCAGCCAGGGAATTGATAGTAACAGAATCACCTAGATTTTTATGTGGAGATTCCTTGATGAAGAATGTACTGATTGAAGTGTTGTTAGGGTTACAGGAACAATAGAGGGATGCTGACGTACACAGAGACTAGAAACAGTGGGAAACTGTTACCATCCCTTGCATTATAGAAGCAAGCGGAGGGCATGCTGTTTCCACAGCCTAATAAGAGCTAAATCTGTAATTGTGGAGGAACCCAGCTAATGTTACAGACACAGCATTGAAGCTGGAGATATGTAGTATAGAAATACTCCAACCTCCCCCTCCTGCTTCTATTTTATCTTGTGCTTGTTTTTCTCATTGGCCTAACTCAAACCAGAAGATGGCTGGTAAAGGAGCATGGATGATGCAGTTCACAGGGGGTCGTATCCCAGGATACAGAGCAGGGAAGAGAAGGGTCTGAGGTCTTAGAAGCAAATAAAGAATAATCAACATAGTAGCCCACTTAAAATAGGAATGATGGTGTGACTGAGTTCCAAAAAGCACATGAGTTTACTTGACAGAGGGCTTTTAGTTTAAAATAGTATATGAAATCAAGGGTAACGCTATACTTACTCAGTGACCTTCTAGTATTACTATCTCTCCAGGGCATTTGTCATTAGAAGAAGGAATAAACTATGACATTCCTGGTGATTTTTTGTCTCATGTTCTCTCTCCTATAATTGAGAGAGTGTACTGTTCAAAGCTCCCTTATACAGATTCTTGATGGAGAAAAAAGAGGAGATGTGGGGACAAAACATAAAAGGCTAATTTGGCTGTGATGTTAAATTGAATCCCTCCATCAGCAAGTAGGTTCTATTTTATTTCATGGTCTTAGACTGAACTCTAACCAGCTGTGTTAAAATTGCATGTTTTTCTTCAGAAAATATATTAAGCTTGAGAGTATATGCCCATGAAAGTTCACCACCACCGATACAGAATCCACGTGATACAACTAACAAAAATTCAAGTTTCCTTATTTTTAGTTTGTATGGGCTTCACTTTGTAGATAACTATTCCATGAATTCTGGTATTCTGGTAGGTATATAAATATGAGAAATTTCTTAAAGTTTCCGATTTATCAGAAATACAACCATTCAACAACTAAATATATATATATTAGAAACACAGGTTGGACTGTATACAAAGAATATGATAAAGCTGAATCGACTACTGGGAAGCTTTTAAAAGTACCAATGTCTTGGTCCTACCACAGACCAATAAAATCAGAATCCCTGGTGTGTGAGGCTTGAGTATTGGTTTTGTTTGCTTTTAAAAGTTTACATGAGATTCTCATGTCCATGTATGGTTGAGAATGAGTATCTTTTTGTTAATTAACAGTCTTTTTAGAGTTTTCATACACTAAGGAAATATTTTATGATTTCTAGCATGCACACGACACTTCTTATTCTTTGTTATTCATAGCTCAACATAGCTTGAGATGTATATACTCCTGCCAAATGATATGGGCATTATACATATTAGCATTATAATTAAATATTTTTACATAGACTGTTCTTCATAAGAATTTTAAAAATAGCATGTTGAAGGCTATTTCTGTCTACATTTCTATTCCTGAAGCTAAATTTTAAGATAATAAGTATTACAGTAGTCAAAAGTCACTAGAAAGTAAAAGTTGCATTTTGTAATTGTGATATCATTTCACAGGTCTTTCTATTCATTCGAGATAAAGCAGACCACATTTTGGTGGGGTAGTATTTCTGATCAAAATCGAGGACTTTAATTAATTATCTTTCAGAATAATGAATAAAATTGCTGATTTTCTTTCCTGCTGTGGGCAATGTGCTTAACGCTTTGCCAAATAATTTGTAACTTCTATGTATTTAAAGTCTTTTAAACCAATAATACAGAAGAAAAGAAACTTTCTAAAGTGAGAGAAACATTTTTATTTCTCCTCCAAACCCATTTTGTTTGGAGTCTTTTAAATAAGTTATCTCATGTATTCCCACTTTTCAGATTAGTTTCAAGGTTACATGTTTTTCCCCTAGATTTTTGAACTAGTAAGTGGGATTTATTACAGATCTGTTTGACTCATAAGTACATACTCCTCCAACCCCATTATTACCTTGCCTCCTTGTGTTAAAATTCTTTTATCTATGATATGATTTAGCCTTCTTTTTCCCCCAGGCTAATACCCTTCAAGCTGAACGGCCCTCAGCAGATGAATCTACCACCAGCAGTATTTCATCATTTGATTTCAGCTCTGATCCCTCCACCACTGGCAGGGAGCTCTGGTCAGAAAGCTCTTTGGGTGATATAGTATCCACACCCAAATTAGCCTTTCCCATGAAGGAGGACCTCAGTTCTTCCTCAGACATTTTAGAGGTTAGCAGCTTGACTCTTCATTCTGTCACCCCAGCAGTGCTTCAGACTGGCTTGCCTGTGGCTTCTGATGAAAGGACTTCTGGATCTCAGTTACTAGAAGATGGTGAGGAATTCTAATCTCTTACACAATTCTTATTGTAGCAAATTACTAGAGTTTTGAAAGGAGGAAGAGACTAGGTTTAGGGGAAAAACACAGTAGTATTCATGAAGAAGAAGTATTTTGGGGAAGTTGTGTGAGAGAGGGAACAGTCAGATTTACTTGGGATGAAGTCCAAAGAGGTAAATTTTAATAAATGAACTTAGTAAACTGGAGTGAGGATCAGTTAATGGGTATTTCAAAGGTAATACTGAAGAGTAAAGAATTTAATTAAATTACTATGAAAGAACTACTTTGGAGTCTCTGGGTGATGCAAATGGTTAAGCCTCTTGCTACCAACTGAAAGGTTGGTGGTTTGGATCTGTCCAGAGGTACTTTGGAAGAAAAATGTGGTGATTGACTTCTAAAAAAGTCAGTCATTGAAAACCCTATGGAGCACGATTTTACTCTGACATACATGGGGTTGCATGAGTTGAAATCAACTTGACAGCAACTGATTTGTTTTTTGGCTTAAAGAATAATTTTATTAATTGAACACTGGTGTAGTAAATATAAACAGCATCAAAGCAGTTCTTAATAGAATGATCAAATCTAGAGATTTTAGTTTGGAGTAAGCTTGAGAAGGAGATCCTGAGCTAGGGCAGCCACAATGGAGATTACAGCATGAAATGAAATGAAGTGAATGATCTTCTAGACGTTGGCACAAAGGGAAAATCAGTGTGACTTAGGGTTAAAGTATGTATGTGAAGTCACTGGGTGGTGCAGTTGATTTAGTACTTACCTGTTAACCGAAAGGTTGGCAGTTGAACCCACCCAGAGGTGAAGAAAGCTCTGGTGGCGTGTTTCCAAAAGGTCATAACCTTGAAATCCCTGTGGAGTACAGTTCTGCTCTGCACACATGAGGTTTCTGTGAGTTTGAATCTACTCAATGGCACCTGACACACATGTGAAAGAGGAAAAGGACAAAAGATATAAAAAATGACTCTAGGATTTTGACCCTTAGGTGAACTTGAAGGATGCTAAGTAATAAAGATAATAGGGAAATTGAGAGTTCAAAGAAAAACTAAATTGCCTAGAGTTCTTAAGTTCCCACTGGATTTAGTTTCTTTGTTGTCAGTATGGCTATCAGCAGTTCCTTAGTTTCATGGGTTAAAACAAATCAAGCATTTGAAGATGAATTATTTTAATAGTAGAGGACATGATATCCTTAGGGAAGGGAATGTATTCATGAATGATTGTCCCACTTCAGAAAAACATTATTAAATCTTCTTGTTGTTTGCTGGCTATAGCAGATGAAAAGGCAGCAACCATCTCTGCTAACTTAATGGGAAAAACATGTAGCTAGTTGTGTTAGGAGAACTAGGAATGTATTTTGGTAATTCTGTAGCTTAATTAATGGAAAATTTTATTTTTAGGATTAACCAATGTTGAAGTATCAGAAGATTATTTTTCTGTTAATCCATTGACATCAAGTCCATTCACTCATCATGTGCCAAAAGAAACAATACCACCCATCAAAGACTCTGAGATGCTTTTGACATCCTCACCATATCTGGCGTCCCCTGCCACGTTAGATCTTCTTGCTGAAGAAATAACCACACCCTTTGGCTTAGATTCTGTGTCCTCCAAAGTCAAAGACCAATTAGAAGTGAGGACTTTGCAGCCAGACACATACATGGAAAAAGAATTTATATTTGAGAGTGATTTAGGTTCAGGGTCTGGGCAAAATGTAGATCTGATTACTTGGCCATGGAGTGAGACTTTATTAGAGAAGAGGACTGAACCACTCTCCAAGTCATGGCTTGAAGATGAAGATTCCTTTTTGCCAACTGAGAGTATAGATGATAAACTAGTTATAGATGACAAAATAGGTTCAACAGATCAAATTATTGAGCATGCTTCAAAAGATGGGCAAGATGATAGACCCACAAACCTTACAGAAGAACAACTCCTTGATGGACCTACTGTACCTGTTTTTTCAGAGACCACAATCCAATCTCTGTCTCTAATTCTCTCCAAGAATACATCAAAAGTACCTAACACTGAATATGAGTCAGTTACTAAAGCACCTCTTCTGCTGGCATCTACAGAGATCTCTGCCTCTACAGATACACCAAATCAAACAGACTCTGTCCTAACAGAGGATATGGAACAGATTTCAGGGTCATCCAGTCATGAATGGTTTGACAGTGAGGTTTCATCAGTGAAGCCAGACATGCAATCTTTGTGGACTACATTGCCAGAATCAGATGTAGTTTGGGCAAGAACTTCTTTCCTAGGGAAATTGTCTAGTGACACGTTGGCAAATACAACACAGAGCACGGACAAGCTCTGGTTGAAAGCTTCCATGACACAGTCTACCAAATTGCCTCCAACTGCAAGCTCCACCCAACTGGAGGATGAAGTAATTATGGGCGTACAGGATATTTCATTAGAACTGGACCGGTTAGGCACAGATTACTACCAGCATGAGCTAACCCAGGAAGAAAATGGCAAGATTGGTAGTTACGTGGAAATGTCTACAAATATTCACTCCACAGAAATGGCTATCGTGGCTCGATCCACAAAAGTAGCTGACTCTAGTCGTACTCAGACAGCAGGAGCTTTGGTGGTTTTCTTCAGCCTCCGAGTGACTAATATTATGTTTTCAGAAGATTTGTTCAATAAGAACTCTTTGGAATATAAAGCCCTGGAGGAAAGATTCTTAGAATTGGTAAGCACAAAAAGTAAAACATGGGCAACCATAGATTTCATGAATGTTCCCTCCATCCCCTAATGCACAAGATCTAATCCAAGGAAAGGGTTACCCGTTGTGAACATTCATTTCCTATCATCTACAAATAATACCATGGCCTAGGATTTTTAGAGAAACAAGAAGATAGGTGCAAGAAATGGAAAGCACAAGCATAGCAAGAGGGATGTGACAGATTAGAGACTGAAGATGATATTCATGAATTCTGAGACCAAAATAAGCATGAGATTTATTTTCTAAGTATTGTTTTTATCTGAAACTCAAGTTTGCAGGTACCTAGGATGCTTTCAGAATCCACAGGTGGTACAAACTGTTAATATGCTCAGCTGCTAACTGAAATGTTGGCAGTTCAAGATCCAACCAGAGGCACCTTGGAAGAAAGTGTTGGTGATCTGCTTCTCAAAAATCAGCCATTGCAAACCCTCTGGAGCACGATTATTCTGACACAGATGGGGTCACCATGAGTCTGAACTGACTTCATGTCAACTGGTTTGGAGAATGCCTTCACTGTTGTGATCCTTTAGTGAAACAGAAAATAAACTCTCTGGGCATCTAAAAGTGTTCTGCAAGTGTCATGGGGCTGAATATCACTATGAAAATCTGATCACTTTCAAATAGTTCCTGATTTGTTCTTTTGTTAATTAACAGTTTAAGTAATGGAAAGAGAATGTAATTAGGAAAATAGGAGAGGGGTTTTTCCCTTTTTTTTTTTTTTTAATGTATTGAAGAAATAGTAACTTACCACTTTTCATGTATTGTAGCTGGTCCCCTATCTCCAGTCAAATCTCACAGGATTCCAGAACTTGGAAATCCTGAACTTCAGAAACGGTAGCATTGTGGTGAACAGCCGAATGAAATTCGCCAGGTCTGTACCTGCTGATGTCAACAATGCTGTATACATGATTCTGGAAGACTTTTGCACCACTGCCTACAAAACTATGAACTTGGCTATTGATAAATACTCCCTTGATGTAGAATCAGGTAATAATATTGCTTACTATGGTGGTTTCATAATGGTATCCAGTGATTATTGTGTATTTTCTTTTACATTGAGAAAAGATGAATCTAGGACTTACGGGGGGGAAAATAAGAGTACTATGTAGTATTATGTGAGACACATTTTAGATACCTTGTTAATTAATAAAATATCTCTTCCAAGGACAGCCATAGCATTCTCTTTTCAAAAGGATTGTATACACATATTATGTCGATCGCCTCCTGTTTCCTTTCCACCCAGTCTATCTGGCTCTCTTTCTTATTTATCCACTGAATCTGTTCTGGCCAAGTCTCTATGTTACCAAGCCTGATAGATTTGATCCTGGGCTCTCTTCTCCTGCTGTATTATTGCCCCAAGTTATTGCATCCATTTCCCGTTGTTTTAAGCCTTATATAAATGTCAATAATTCCCCACATTTTTATATCTAGAGTAGATGTCTCTTCAGAGCTCCAGATTAAAAATCTTATTATTTTGACAATCTCTACTAAAATGTATTATATGTATCTCAAAATAACAAAATTTAAGAGTGAGCTTTTGTTTTCCATATCTCTTTCCCCTCTAACTAAATCTACTCTTCCTCTTGGTTTCTCCATCTCAATAATAGGAGGGTCTATTCACTGAACTACTTCAGCCAGAAATATGAGAAATCATACTTCACTTTCCATCACCTCAATTTCCAATACCTTATAAAACTGTACTGATTATGAATTCTAAATAAATGTTTAATATCTAATGTAGCCACTGGAACTACTTGAGTACAAGGCACCATAATCTGGCATTTGGATGAGTTTCCCATTTCTTCTCTTGCTGTTCCTCATATTCATTCTCCAGACAGCAGCCTAGTGTTGCTTCTAAATTTAATTGATTTTGCTGTTTAAAGCCTGTCAATGGCTTCCTGGTTCAATAGGCCTGCTTTGTATCTTCTTCTCCAGTTTTATCCAATGAAACTATAACCTCTCTTATTTATTTATTGTTTTCATCTAGTTTTGCAGTGTTTCCTCCCCTCCCCTCTCCCCCCAGTAACCAGCAAAGAAAGTTTCCTTCCATATATAAACCTCTCTTTGACTTTTTACAATAATGAACTAATACAATATTTGTCCTTCTGTGATTCACTTGTTTCACTCAGCATAATGTCCTCCAAGTTTATCCACGTTATGCGGTGTTTTGCAGATTCTACGTTATTCTTTAGTATTGCGAAGTATTCCATTGGAAACTAACTTCTTTGCTCACCAAGTTCTAGTCAAACTGGCTTAGTTTTTAGTCCCTCAGATACAGAAAACTTTGTCTGGGCTTAAAGCATTTGTACGTACTATCCCCTTTGCCTGAAACACTTTCTTTCTCTTGGCTGCCTTCTGCTCACCCTTGATGCCTCAGTTTAAATGTCACTTCCTCAAGATTTTGACTGACTCACCCATAAACTACATTAGATCTCCTCTATTAGTCTTTCTTATAACACCATGTTCTTTTCTGCCATAGATTTTTTTTTTTTTTTCACAGATTATGGGGTTTATTAGAGAAGCATCAGGCTACAATTCAAGTTCAGGAAGAACACTCAGTCTCTCTCAGCTCGCCATCTCAGCCAGCATTCTCTCTCAGCCATTCTCTCAGCAATGCCTGTCCCTCGGTGTCTCCTTCTCAGCAGCATGTGTCTTTCAGGAGCACGTGTCTCTCAGCAGCACATCTTTCTCAGCCAGCAGTCAGAGAGACCTCTTCTGGCTCTAGGAGGCCTCCTTTTGAGCTAGCAGAGTGGCCAAACCAATCAATCATAACATCAGAATTCTAAGCACCTGAGAGAGAACGAACTTCCCAGAACATTGCTTTGTGCTACTCCCAACAGAAATACCCCAGGTGGATAACTTTTACAATCAGGAGCTCTTCAGTTGCTCACAGCAAATTTCACCATGGGGTTTACAAAGACTTATGGCTAGAAAAGCCATACCACCTGCCATAGAATTTGTCACTGTTGTAATAATGCTAATTTATATGTGAAGCTGCTTAAATGCTATTTTTCCCAGTTAAACTATCCACAAGAAGTGAGATGATTCCAGTTTTATTAACCATTGTCTAGCCAGAACCTAGCATTGTGCTTTAGGCACATTCAGTATATATTATATTGAATATATAGTATATATATATATATATATATATATATATATATTGAATGAAATGAACCATTGTTTTTAGTTAGAAGACTTGGATGCAGAGAATATTGTTGGATCCTTAAGTTTTGTTCTTTCCTTTCCATACACCAGAGGAGAGTAGTGAGTGGGAGTTAGGTAGACTGTCTCGTTTCATATTTCTTCAATGTCTTTACTCTCAAACTTGTTAGGAAGTGAGCCTTATTCTTTAACTGGGAAAGAAACATTCTTTCCTTTGAAAGCTTTGAATGACCATTATTCAATAAAAGTTAGGAAAACGATTTAGCCAGTTCCCAAATCTCCAAATCTCTTGCTACTTAAATAATATAAGGCTGTTTGCTCATTCTTTGCCATGTGATGTAGTAGGAGAAGCAATTATAATTTGGAATATCTGGGTTCTTTTCTTTGCTGTATATCACTTGTGTGACCCTAGATGAGTTACTTTATCTTTGAGCTTCAGTTCCCTTATATGTTTAATGGTGATAATAATACCTGCCCTGTGTGTTTCACAGGACTATGCTAAGGATTAAACAAAAAATACATATATAAGCATATGGCAAGCCCTGTAAATGCAAGCAGTTATGATTTTAAAAAACTTTTGTAATGGCCAATCCACTAAAGAAGTGCAATAAATCAGCTCATTTACTTCAATTTTGTATGTTACTGACAAGTCAGTTACCTGTCAGTCATCCAGGTTTATAGGTCATATTTTCCTTTAATATTTAAATGAACTAGCGTGAGTCCATGCCATGGACAGGGTGAAATCTCATCTGAATCCTTTCTCCCTAACTCTAGGGATTCTCAGCAAACTAAAATTTCTCTTAATCACTTTCAGCTCCAAGTTCCTCTTGCTAAATTTCCAATTTCAGTTGAGTCTTGACCCTTGTAGTTGTTCTTTATGTTAACCAAATACAGCCCCCTGCTTTTGATTTTCCCAAAAAACTTCTAACACAAGGCTGTTGATTCTTTCAGATATTTGCTCATGGTAAGTGGATAACTGGAGAAAGCTTTAATCACGCCAAACAACTTAACATATTACTGTTAGGTATCACCACCCTAAGATTCCTCAGCCACCCTCTCAAAGGAATTTCTTACTAGGTCAGCTTTTATATCCAGTACCTGGCCAGCTACCATGTTGCTCTGGCAACTCAGTATATCTTTCCAGATACTCCACATTTCCTCCATGTTCATTTTCCTGAAACCATCAACCCTTCTCTCAGATTACTGCTGGAAAATCAGAATGTAATTGATTCTACAATTTAGATCCCTGTCTTCTGTCTCAAGTCTATGTTTGTTTTCCTATAAAGTCATTAAGGAGCTCTTCCAAACACAGAGCCATCTACTCTGTGCATATTCCTTTAATCAGCACAAAGAACTGGAAAGAGACTGAAACAAGTCTTTTATTTACATGATTAAAATATTAGGCTTATTCTCTTTCTTGGGTCAGAAAGTAAAAGGGAGCAACATGTTCCATGTTCCTCTTGTGGATTCTATTTTCCTCTCAGCTACCACTTATCCACACCAAGAAAGTGGTCACAATGTTTTAAAATCTTTTAAATAGAATTTTACTAGTACATGTATATTTCTAGTTAAAGCCTCTCAGATTAAAATATTATTTTATTTCAAGATTGGCTAGGATAAGATTGACTTGTCTCTTGCACAATTTGTTTTCACGTGCAATATATCAGAAACTCTTGAACTTCTATAACAAAGCAGAGCTGTGCCATACCATCTCCCCATCCTGCCCCATCCCTCACTGCTAGACCATTTTTAAAAAATTATTATTTTATGATTATAGACTCACCAAATGAATACTAGGGTAAGGCTGTGAAGACCTAGGAAAAACACAGTGGAATCCTGCTGTGCAGTCCCCTTGTAGAAGCTATCTGTCAACACGCTTTATAGTCTCCTTGTTTGTGACCATCTTGCCAGTGATCCCCATATTTTCATGCAGAACCAAGAGCGATTAGCTGCAGAGATCTTCCAAACTCCAAGGCTACAGACTTGTGCAAACTTATCTTCAATTTCCAGAGCAGCAAGGAGATCTTTGTCTTCCAAAACAACATTTAATGACTCTGGAAATGCAGAGACAATGTTTTATCCCTTTTCTTTCTAGCCAAACTTTACGCTTTTTCATAGAGAATAATATGGGTAATTTTCACCTATTTTCTCAGTTTTTGGTATCTGTGTCACCCTTTGCCTATTTGCCAATTACAGAGTACCATTCACCAATGAAGAATATATGGTGAACTATGAACTATAGTAAGATAGAGGGCCCATGTCCACTGTCTTAATTCATTTTTAGCTAGTTATTGTCCTAATTCATTTTTTAAAACATCATTTCCCCTCATCCCATCTGACAAATAAAGTTACTTAAGCCAGAATATTGTTGGGAATGGAGGAGCAGGGGCAAGGTTGATTTATTTTTCTAATATTGTTTTCTACAAACATTATTGTTCCCAAATTGCTCAAAATGTTTCTGGTTCCTGCCAGATCTTCTCTGAGCTCTTTCTCTCCATTCATGTAGCACTGTGTGCAGAGTGGAGATGCACTAGAGCAGGGTGGGGTTGGTGGGAATAAATAGTACAAAAACACTCTGTTCAATTTTGATTTACAAGTGCATGGCATGGAGTTTAAAGACCCAAGTCATGAGATTTTATGATTTAGGCTTTGGGTTTGAGAGAAATTTGGAGGAAGCTCATCAACCAAAGATGAGTCAACATTTTTTTTGTAGTGTTGGTAATGATGGCATAGTTTAATGGTTCAGGAGAATTGTCCCATGGTACTTTGGAGGGAGCTTTAGTGGATAGCGTCCATGTACCTCAATTTCTGTGCTTTGCTTTTCCTTGCACCATTCTCTGTTTTGTTTGAGATTTTAGGTGATCAAGCCAACCCTTGCAAGTTTCAAGCCTGCAATGAATTTTCTGAGTGTCTGGTCAACCCTTGGAGTGGAGAAGCAGAGTGTAGATGCTACCCTGGATACCTGAGTGTGGAAGAGCTGCCCTGTCAGAGTGTTTGTGACCTACAGCCTGACTTCTGCTTGAACGATGGAAAGTGTGACATTATGCCTGGGCATGGGGCCATTTGTAGGTATGTTATAGTTAGAGGTTTTAGCTTCACAAACTTATAAATACTTCCTCTAAAGAGAAAAGGTGTATACATATGGTTTAATAATAGCAATATAATTGCTATTATATTGGATAAAAATAGTAATATTTATTATAGAAATTATTATATTTACAGAAGAGATGGTTACCATATAGTTCTATTGTAAATACTGGGTCAGTTAATGTTGTTATTTGCTGTCGAATCGGACTTGACTCATAACGACCACTCCTTGGGTTTCCGAGGCAGTATCACTGCAGAAGTAGATCGCCCCATCTTCCTTCCGAGGAGTGGCTGGTGGGTTTGAACCTCCAGCCTTCTGGTTAGCAGTCAAGTGCCTTAGGCACTATGCTACCAGAGCTCCTACCAGGTCAGTTAATAGGCCTGCATTATATGCAGTTCAAGTGATTATTTTATGTTCTTAGGGAGCTGTAAGAAAAATATCAAACAAATATTAGTAGCTACCCTACTGATAGTATTTGGAATAGTTGGAGATCTTTGTATTATAGTTCTTAGTAGTGATAATAAGACAACCAGTGTTACAATTAGTTTTAAGCATATGATTACCACTTTACACTATGCACTATGTCCAAAAGTGAAAACAAAGTTTTATTGTTCTACTTGGATTATATCCTTAATGACTTTTGGCTGCTATTGATCCTTCTGAGTATTCAAAGCTAAGGAAAAGCAAATTTTGAAGTCTTTGGAGTATTGGCAAGTATATTTTTATCTAAATATCTAAGATTCCATTTTGTTTTTTTAATGGTAGACCCTAAAATGCAGCAGACATGTAAGCACATTCAGGTAGCCTGATCATCCTTCCCTGCTCACTCCTCTTGAACAAAACAACCTCCCAACCATAGACAACCAAGTCTCATGAGTGTAAGAGGAGAGAATGCTGAGAATAAGGAAGGAGACATAACAAGAAGACAATCTTTGAATGTCAAAATTGGCAAATGATGGTGTGGATACCAAAAACAGAAGAAATGGATGGTAACAATCGACTATTCCAGAGGGAAAAGTGTAAAATTTAGCTAGAAGATTAAGAGAAAAATAGTCTCTTGGTTTCCAGTGTAATTAATATTGTTATGAAAAGCAATGGTTTCTTTGCTGTTCTGGGAAGTGAAGACATTTTCACACGAATCTGTGGACTTGAAGTTTGGAAATCTTGGCAGTGTGGTGAAAGGACATTACAAATCTGGAGATCTGGATTCTAGACCCAGTTCTGGGCTGACTAATTGTGTGAGCTCAGGCCAGTCACTTTCCTTTTCTGGGTCTGTTTTCCTTAATCCATTTAAGGAGGTTAAATTCTAGTTCATTGTGTAGGACCTGGGGTCTCAAAAGCTTACAAACAGCCATCCAAGGTACAGCAATTGGTGTCTGTTCTCCTGAAGCAATAGAGGAAGAAGAAGAGTCAGGAATAGAAGGAGAGAATGGAATGCAGGGCAAATTGCCTCTGTGAACAACTGTTTCCTTTGCCATGAAACCAGAACTGGATTGTTCCTGGCTACTAATACTGAACATTTGGATCAAAGATTCTATAGAAGAACCCTGATCAAAAGGGGCAAAATACAAAACAGAATTTCAAGTTGTCATAGGACCCAGGTGAATCCCTGAAACTATTGCCCTGAAATGATGTTTAAGCCTTAAACTTAAACCAAAAATATCCCCTGAAATGTTCTCAAAACCAAACTACACTTCAGCTTAAAGAATGTCTGCCTTGAGCATTGAGCTCTTTTGAGATCTATCTATGTGGGATCAAACTGACAACAGCAACTTGAAAGATTATATAAGAAGCTTAGGGGGCAGTGAGTTTATATTAATGGATGTGAGAATTAAGGTTGTGTGCCAACTTGGCTGGACCATGATTCTCAATATTTAGCAGTTATCATGTAGTCATCTCCCATGATGAGATAGATATAAGGTAATCCAGCTATAAGCAGTCAATCACTTGAAAGGGAGTTTCCCTCAGGATGTGACCTGCTTCCAATATATAAGGACATCCTGACAAAGTTCTCTGGCTTTTTGCTCGATCTGGATCCTGCATCTGGCTTACCATCATCTGACCTCCGGTTCTTGGACTTGAACCAGTGGTCTGCCATATTGCCTGACAATCTTGGGATTGTTGCATCTGTAGCCTGTGAGCTAACAGCCTGCCATCTTACCTGCTGATCTTGGATTCATCAGCTTCTGCAGCCAGTGACCTGCTGCATTGCCTACTGATCTTGGGTTCATCAGACCTCGCAGCTACGTAAGTGAGGAGAAGACTCCAGCCTGATGTCTGACCCATGGATTTGGGAATTGCCAGCCTCTATGACTGTGTGAGCCATTTCTTTGAGATACATTTCTTTCTATATATGTATATATAACTTCACTGGTTTTGCTTCTCTAGAGAACACAGACCAAGACAATGGAGGCGGAACAACTCAGAAAAGGAGGGGGAGAATAAGTTGAAGAATGTTGACTTGGTTTATGTTGTGCTGTATATATTCACAATACAACAAAAATAAGTATAAAAAAAGAATAAAATAAGGAGGTTGAATGAATAATTTATCTCTATTAAATCACTCATTTACAGTCATTGGGTCTGTGCCAGGCTTTATGCATATCCTTAAATTGTATGATCATCTGAGATGTATAATGAACTCTTTAATGAAGATTCATATGGTCAGCATTTATTTCTTTACCTTTCTCTAGTCCTGAAAACTCTACTGTTAATTGTTACTTTGGGCAGAGTGATTCAGTTTTTGGAATTGGTGACTTCTTGTTACAGATGCCGAGTGGGCGAGAACTGGTGGTATCGAGGTGAACACTGTGAGGAATTTGTGTCAGAACCCTTGGTGATTGGCAGTACCATTGCCGTTGTGGGTGTACTGCTCCTTGTCTCTTCTGCTGTCATCCTCTTCCTGATCAGGACTCTTCAAGCTCAGCATGTTAGGAGAGAAAGAGAGATGCCTGTCAGGTAAACAAGGAAAAGAGCTCTCTGATGGAATAAAATATTCTTTTATTCTCTTCATATAGTACTTTCTATGTGTAAATATTGGGCCAAGAGCTGGATGGAGAGGAGAGAACTATAAAGTTGAATAAAAATATGGTCCCTGGCCTCAAAAAAATGGCAGATTGAAAAGAAACAAGCCATTGCACAACATAAGTAGCACTATGAACAAGGTGCTAAGGAGCCTAGATAAGGGATGAGTTCATTTTGCCTGGGGGAGAGAGTCATAGGATTTTTCATGTTGTTGAAAATGGGATAAGAATTTTAGCTAGTTGTTGTTGTTGTTGTTATGTGCCATCGAGTCAAACCCGACTCATAGCGACCCCTCCTTGGGTTTCCGAGGCAGTATCACTATGGAAGTAGG